AGTTTAATAATTCCAATTATTGGTTACAAAATTGAAGTGAAAGGAATTCCTGAAAATCCGGAAATTTGTGCCAAACAAATAAATGATATTACTTGGTCTTTTATCTGGGATAATAAAATTAAATAAAATGGAACAAATGAACATGATAAATATCTTTAATTATATAAGAAAAACCAAGAAATAAAATTGACTTAAAAAATTATCATTCAAAATCAAAAACATATGGAATGCTATTGGTAAACACAAGTTTAAAAGACAGGAATATTTCCTATGCTCTTGTTCTGACTTGTCCCAAAGTTCTTTAAATATATGTAATAAGTCTAATTTTTATTTTAAAAAAAACAACAACACATATCATTTAGTGAATTTCAATCAAAAATTGAGCCTGAAAATCGAGATGGAATTCTCAACCTTCATTTGTATTATCATCAATAAATATTGTAGCTGCAGAACTGTAGCGTTATGGTTTTATATTTAAGTCTTTGACCATAAAAATATAATATATTCTATAATAACAATAGACTAAAATATAAAACAATAATGCTACAGTTTTGCAGCTATAAAAATTAATGATATTAGATTAAAATGCATTCAAAAAATCCTAAATAAGAAATTGCACTGGGATTTGATTGACTCTACTTTTATTCAAACTTCAATTGCAACAAGGGTCTTTTAAAAAGATTTTTAATTTTTTTTTAAAATAGCTACATCATTCACAACATCCATCATTGCTTATTATGTTTAAGATTTTTTTTTTTTTTTTTTTTTACAGATATATAATTTTTTGATCTTAACCTATGAATGTATTGTATACTATTTATATAAATAAATAAAAATGATGTAAGAAACTTTTGTGTAAAAGCCTTGTAAAGCATATTTTCTTTCCCCTAGGTCCATCTAGCTCAAACTTCACAAACAGAATGCCAATGAGTAGAGGGTGTGCAGGGATATTGAACCAGTTTTTCTCTTCCTTTGGCACAGTCAGTATCAATCTTATTAACCTATAGAGGATAGAAGGTATGCACGACCTTCAATTAATTTTTCAGATCAAATGTCAAGGACGAAAAACCTTTCCGAGTAAAATCCTTGACTGGAACATATTTTCTTACCCCTTAGGCAAGTTTGGCTCATACATAACATATAGAGTGCCCATGGGCAGAATGTGTGCATGACTTTGACCAATTTTTATAGCTGAAAATCGGAAAATCTAGAGCATATTTCATTTCCCCATGGCCCTACCTGTCTTAAGCTTCACCCAAAGAGTGCCCATACGTAGAGAGTATGCAGGGCCCTTAAGCAAGCCAAGGTTCTAGGTTAGTGGTTAAAAAAACTACGCACGCTAACTCTCGATTCCCGCCTACATTTTACACCCATTTAATTCAATACTATTGTTAATTTGGCCATTAAAACTACTTTGAATACAAAGATAAGTTCAATGGTAATTGATTAATAATTTTAATACCAGTGTCAAATAATTAATTATTCTTAATAACATCTCTTTTTTTTAAGGGGGGTAGACGATGTTTTCCATTGAAAGCAGGCTTCAAAACATCACCAGATTTAAAAATATTCTTGGATATTGATAAATGGCCCTTAAATCTGTCTGTAGGAATAGCTCCTGTAAAACTAACATATATGATTGATAAATTACAATTTTTTAGCTGTTAACCCCGTTGAAATTTGTGATAAAATGATCATTTTTTTGTTTTTTGTCTGTAAACATATGCTCCCCCCCCCCCCCGTGAAACAACAAAAGCTTTGGTATGTATTTGTTTAATATCGATTCTTCATATATGTAAAACGGAATTTTTGTATCACCGGGGGGGGGGGGGGATGCTTTAAAAATATTTTCCGTTTTCCATTGATTTCTATAGTGAAAAATAGAAGTTTTACCAATTATAGAGTTATCGCTCTTTGTTTTCCGAAATAAGATGCGTTTTGTGAAAATCCATATAAATATCTATATAAATATGAAAAATTATTCAAATCTGTTAACTTTTGAAAATTGACTTGGAGGTTGTCGGAAGAACAATAACTGTCCTTCGCAGTTCTTTATAGCAAATCTCTGTAAAATTCTTTTCTTGAGCATTTTTGGCCCAATTTACGTTAAATTTTACCCAAAGAGTGCCCTAGAATGAAGCCTCTTTCATCCTTGCTTTCTTTGCCAAAACGGGGCCCTTTGAAATGGTCACCGTCTCGATGATGTCTAGGTTAGATAATTATCTAATACCTCTTCATAGTTGGTAGAGCGCTCGTTCAGTGATCTAAAAGTCGTGGGTTGAAAACCTGGCCGCGACTGACCTAAGACGATAAAAATTAGGTAGCAATTGTCCCTTCGCTATGCGTTCGGCACTTTGAAGTAAAAGTTACGAGTCTTTGGGATGAAACCTTAAAAACAGAGGCACCATGTCATGACTGACGCTGGCAGGATAAAGTTCAAATAATGCTCAATGACCTCGAGTGCCGAGTAAAGGTCTAAATTTGAAGTAACCGGTATATGGTGATGTCTCTATGTGAGCAAAAAAATTTTCGAACAGGACGTCAAACAGCATACAATCAATTAATCATGTTTGAAATATTAGCTCGCTCTCTCTCTCTCTCTCTCTCTCTCTCTCTCTCTCTCTCTCTCTCTCTGCATATACACGTAAAGAGAGAGAGAGAGAGAGATTCTCTGAAGCTGTGCTATACAAAGGCCAGTAACTGTATAATGCAATACTGTATTTTTGTCACCTCTAGTCTCTCTTCATTTGTTAAAAATCATTCTGAAACAACAATAAAAGAAAAATCACATGTTGGATGTTTTATCTATTTTTATAAAGTATCTTTAAGATATAAAATGCCATATTATTTATATAAGTCACGTTTTCTTGCGTTTGTGTCATGTTCAGCAATTTGAATGTTGATAGTTTTTTACTTTGATTTTATATTATCTATTTATTTTTAAAAATGAAAAAAAAATAAAAGTTATCAGATAAAGTAAAAAAAAAAAATTAAAAAAAACTAAAAAAGTGCATAGCATTTTTTCGACGACTCTTTTTTAAAATTGAACTTAGAGGAAGGCTGAATTTATCTTTGTGGTAACCAAAACATTTATGTCATTCCTGTCTATGTATTTGCCCTAACATATACAGTTTATTGACTGCTTTTCACCCTTTTCTAATAATTAAATACATATAGGGATTTGGTTCGGCCATACATCAACACTCGAGGTCGTACAGGCAGATACATAACCAGACAGCGTGTCATTTTCATATGCTTTATTCTACATTCAAAGGAAGCATATGCGATGAACTATAAATATTTCTTAAGTATCATTACTTTAATCTAATTACTGATTGAAAGCGCTTGATTATTACTTTTCTTATTGCTCATTAAAAATTCTGGGTTATATTCCTTGCTTTGTGTGTAGAGATGTCTGTCAGTGTATTTTGAAAGAAACGACCGCCTGAAAAGGATGTTCGAAACTTCGTATGAAAGGAAAATTAATTCAGTTATTCGATCAAATGACATCGGGATTGAAACACTTTTATTAAAAATGCACCTTCATATATTATGTAAGCAAATGACATCGATTCTCATTGAATCTCATTAAAGGCCAGCCATAGAGAGGCTAAATACTCATTGAAGGCCAACCATAGAGAGGCAAATACGTTGTGGTTACACCATTCTATAAATGCTGTCTTGGTTTATCATATAAATTACATACATAAGGACTACGAAAATATGATCTAAATCTTCGTTGGCCCTAAAATCAAAATTTTACTCGTAGAAATTTGCTGCACTAATCAAATTCACAATTTATTAACTTTCAAATGTTACATTAATTACATTAACATGTGATATTTTGAATACCTTCAACAGAATATTACCTCAGTAACACCATATCACGAATAAGTCTTTTTCTAAAGTATATAACATCATACCATCACGTGTCACAAGTCAATGAAAATTTAGATAATTTTAGACCGGTATCTGGATTAGTTTGTTTTTTTACAGAGAAAAATCCTCCAACAATAATAATTGAAAAAAATTGGTATAAGTATACGAGCATTCCATTGCTGATTTTTCTCAATTAAATTTAATTTTGTGTTTTTTTTATGTTCTTTTTTTTTTTTAAATTTCACGATTGTACTGAAAATTCAGAACTCAGTGGAAAATTAGATTTTCTAATTTCATCTACGATGGATTTTAATATATCTTTAATAAACGGATGCGATTTTCAGAATAAGCCATAAACAGTATTTATGCCTGCCTTCCCATATTCCATATAAGTAAGAAGACTCAACTCCCATATAAAGAATAAAAATGGTCATTTATTAAGGAGCACAAAGCAAAAGAGCTGCATAAAACATAAAACCATGTAAAAAGTCGCAAAAAGAATATTACACCAAAATCAAGAACATGTGATGTGTTGCGACAGGTACAAAATACAACACTCCTTCAATAAATGACAATAAATCAAAAACATATATATATACATACAAAAACATTACAAAACTATCACCCAGTTGTATCCTGGGAAATGTACGGACTAGTAAAAATATTATGCAACAAAGTTTTGGCCATTGGAAGGACTAGATATAAAGTATGTCCTAAACAAAGCAGTGATATGGGGTGTTCATCTGCCCAATTGGTTGTAAAAATAAAATGAAGGTGGAGGGGAGGGTGGTGGCAGACAGTAAAAATATTGTGGATGTTTACATAAGGGACTATGAATGCGCATGCGCCAACTAGCTAATATGCATAAAAATCAAGTGCGCATGCTTGAACTAAAAATACCTATCAAAAGACAACATCAAAGTAAACATAAACAAATACACGTGTCCTGGTCAACATGCATAAACTATTTATTGACATAAATTTGTTTTATGCCTGCCTTCCCATATTCCATATAAGTAAGAAGACTCAACTCCCATATAAAGAATAAAAATGGTCATTTATTAAGGAGCACAAAGCAAAAGAGCTGCATAAAACATAAAACCATGTGGTGTAATGATACTTATATCTTTTTCACTTGGACAAAGGTGCTGGTTTGTTGGATGTGCTACTGGGTTTATTAGTGTTTTGTTTTGAAAAGCCTTGTTTTGATCGGTTGTAGCATCGTTGACGAGGGTGCTTTCCCGCACAGTACTGACAGACATGCTGGTGGGGGCAGTTGATTTTATTGCATGATCCAAGATTGTTGTAGGAGTAGCAGTAGCTATGTTGCTTGGGTTGGGCACGAAAGGGCTGTTTCTTGCTTTTAAGCTTGAAGTCTAGGCCCGAGACTAAAGCTTCTTGATATAGTTCAATATTTTTCTTATCCCATGCACACGAGGAAGGTTCTTTTTCGCGCCAACGCCGAAATTTTTCGTCATACAGTAAGGCCGCTCGATCCCCACAAGAGTCGGCGATTTTTTGCACAGTGTGTGCGTAGGTCATCAGTTGACCAATTTCATGGGGGAATTTCTCCGCATAAATGGCTACAAATATGTGGAAGGCCTCGACCCACTTGTTGATTGTTTTCAATGAACCTTTTTCATTTGTCTTAACGAAGATTAACTGACCATCTTTATCTACTGACTTATACTTTTCAGTTTCTTCATAATCAAGGTCATTGGGCAATAGGGTAGCAAATTTAACGAATTCGTTGGCATGGATTTTGGCCCTTATTTTAATGTCTACCCCCAATGTTAGGAACATCGTCAAGCAAACAAGAAACGACTGGATAAGTAAATTCATTCACACGTAACCACGATTAGTCAAATGTTCGAGCGGCGAGATAAATAAACACATTATGTCCAATTGATGCCTCGCACTGAAGAATCCCGAAACAATGTCTGTTTAGCCTGTGGCGTCACTGCGCGCCATTTGCACAGAATGGGCCGTAGAACCGATGCTATCGATAAATCACAAAAAGGGGGGTATATGTACAACAATTACCTTTGGAACTACGTACTACGTATCCTAGGCGTTGTTATAAACTTTATAGGGTCGATGGAAAGTCGTTATAGATATCGCATCCGAAGTGATATTATACTTTTAAACTTTATTTTACTTAGGTTGTGATAGAGTTTGGTCTACGAATTGCTCCGTTTACCCGATAACCAATCGACAGGGTATGCTTACTCCTCTATGGCACATGATCCAATTTCATCTTTCAAGGAGTCTGTATTTGCTCTGCTCTTAATTCCTAATTTAATAGGATTTTCAGCGTGATTACCGATCGTTATCTTCATATTTCAAGTATATATTTTATAATATCTGTATAATGTAAATTACAACATTAGCATTACATATGTTAGACAATATGAATAACTTTAAGTTGCAAGAAAAGTACATAATCTCATAATTGTAAGTATGATTTGGCCTTGGATACCTATTTCTTCTACTCTTTTAATTTGAATTAAATGTCTCTTTCATGTTGTTTAACGACCTTTTCCCCAATAGAAGTATTGTCTAGTCGTTTTCAAAAATGAAAAGGCCGCCGAGATTCTTCTCCATTTTGACCGAGATGAGAAAAATTTTTATTTCGAAATTAAGATTGTAAAAGTACACTCGCATTTCCTAACATCGTAGTAATTTAGATTTGTACCCAGAAAAAAAGATGGGCGATGTATGTGTTTCAATAATGAAGATGTAAAACATTTGTAAAGTTATTATTTCGGAGAGATTTGCTTTAATGATATTGTAGAAAAATGTTCACAATTAAACACTCTTTCAATGTGGGAGTATATCAAATTCCACAACAATGGTTTTAAAGTTATTAGAGACCCCAACTACGTTTAATTTTATCTCTATTTATTTTCCATGTTGAAATTCATTTTCAATAAACTTTATATCTGAAAATAAATCCATGCAGCCTTTGGAACTTTTGGCTAACTTTAAACTATTTACTTAGTTGGCAGATCATCTGGGGATGGGAAGGCAGATTAAAAAGGCTGATGCTTCAGAAACCCACCTTTAAACCTTCCGCTCGACCTAATGATCGGATATACACGCAGTTTATTACTCTTTTTTAAAAGCGACATGAGCTTTATTTTTGATAATCTTTATTTTGCTACAAAAATGTGTTGATATGATAATTCTGAAAGTAACTTAAAATTTTATGATCAGTAAAAGATGACAAATATATAATTTTGCTTCGATCAGAGCTACTAGGTACTTGTTACGACTCAAATATGAACAACAGAAGTTTATAAACCTTGAAGACCTTTTCTTTCATTCAAATAATAGATATTTTTTCACCACAAATTATCAAAATGAAAATTGGAGCTCACATATAGAGATAAGACATACACGCATTTGGAAAATGGATCATGCAATCATTACAGCACAAAGATCCAAAACTGTAGAAAGAACTTGGTAACACCGACCTACAAGAGTGAAAACGGAAACAGCTCATAATGAATGTTTAAAAGCTATTTCCTGAAATTATTAATTTAATCAAAATGTGCAATCTCGTAAATCATCTGACATACACGTTGCTTATCTGGCTCATCCGTTTATTCACGCTTTTTCCATAACTTTAAAATCCACCTCTCTTCAGACGTTGTACATGTATCATTCAACGATTAAGATTAAGGTTTTGTCACAGAAAATGAACTTATATTTCTAGTTTATTTTAACCGAAAAAGTGCGTCACCAAATACATAATTTCACCACTACACAAATAGATCACTTTACGATCATTTCCAGCTTCTTTTATTAAAAATACAAAATAGACTACATGCCATGTACAATAATTGATGCTAAGGATCATTTTGATCAATGTGATGTAGATCATATCTCTGCTTTTATAAAAGTTTGCTTTCAAGAATATTTAAATAACATTAAAATATTGAAAAGCAGTATATTAATGTTTCGGGAATCAATACTATTCTTCGATTAAATGGCATCTGACAGATTGGGCACTACTATTCCCTAGACGTGTTATAAAGGACCCATAGCATACAGTAATTAAAAGTACTAAAAATGTGCTCTTTAGATTTCTTTCATTACATTTTGAATAATGATTCCAAAGCACATGTTGATTGATTGCATTTTTAACGTCCCATTCCAAAATGTTTCACTCATAAAGAGACGTCATGAACCGTATGTCGGTGAAGGGCTTGGAATTTACACCTATACTCTGCACTCAGGACTGTTGGGCAGTGAGGCTTTCTTATCTTGCCAACGCCTACCGTAACATGGGCCCTAGGATTTTAAGGTCTCATCCGAAAGACCCGTGACTTTTACTTCTAATGCCGGTTGCTTGGCGAAAGAACAGTCACTACCTATGTTTTTGTTTTAGGTTTGACACGACGCGGCGAACGAGAATCGAACCCGAGCCTCCCGATCACAAATCACATGTAAGGTTAGCCAAACATGATCAAAATCTCATATACACGTAAATATTTTTTCTTTGATCGGAAATTCTTAACATTCTTAACATTTGGACCTTACTTCCATTTAATGAAAAGACTTTTTTCCTACTACAACTGCTCCCCACGAATATTTGAATTCTATAACAATGGACACAGAAAGTCTGTTAAAGCCGTACACTGACTTTGATCTACAAGACATACAGAATAAAATATTTAATATGGCTTTAGAGAAGAGAAAACTATGTTCGACTTAATGATCGGTCACGGTAGCCTAGTGATAGGGCGTTCGCCTCGTGATCGGGAGGTCCGGGTTCGATTTGGTCTAAATTTGAAGCCCTTCATCGGCATACGGTGCACGTGAGGTCTATACACAGTGAAAAATTCTCAAATGGGACGTTAAGCAACACAAATTCAATCAATCAATCAATCGTCTTTATTGTCCTATAAATAAATGTGACTTAATATTTCTGGTAACAGAGCCAATGATAAGTATGGAGAAATAAAGAAATATTGATTCACAAATATTGTCGAACAAATCATGATTCATTAACTTTATTTCTTACAATTTCTGTTTCTATATAAACTTCATGTCTAACTCGTAACATGTTACTCAAGTGCTGAATTTTTTTTTTTTTTTGGGAGGGGGAGGGGGGAGGGGCTGTGATTACCATTGCTACACTCGACAAGAAGACTTGTTACCAGGGGGAAACATTAGGTCTAATAAATTGTAGCAATAGCACTGCTAGCTCGTATATAGGGGAAGGAAAAATTCGGACTACTGCATATTGATCCAATAAAAAAAAATCCGCAGAAAACCTCGGTACTCACAATGCACAGCAAATTGTCTGCGGTTCTGTTGTTTAACTCAAGTTCTCACGATGACCAAAGAAAAAGTTCATAATTTTTTTTTATTTTACTACAGTTTATTTCAATTAAACAGTGATAGATTTACAGATTTTATCATATCTGTTGTGCACATCATATAAGCATTAAAGATGTTAAGCAATTTCTAATATCCCTCAGTCGTTGGAAAAGTACATGGTGTTATAATTCTGTGCATCAGTTGGCCTTGGATACTCGTTTTATTTGAATTAAATCTCTTTCATGTTGTTAAACGATCTATTTTTCAAAAGAAATATTGTCGTTTTAAAAATTGAAAGGACAACTGAGATTATTCAAATAAATATTGCTCCATTTTCACCGAGATGGGAAATGAGAACAACTTTTATTTCGATATTTTGGAAGTACACTCGCACTCTCAAACATCGTGATAATATAGCTCTTAACCCAAGAATAACAGGGGTTTGTGTGTTGTAATGATTTTAATATTTCTTTGAAGTTAGAGTAGAAGAAATGATAATTTCAAAATACATGCAAGGAATTAATTTTATATTTACAATTGAACACTTTGAGAGTGCATAAATTCATACAGCCGTAGCTTCATACTTGTAGAGACCTCGGTTCCCATTTATCTATATTTATTTACTATGTGGAAACTCATATCAATAAACTTGTATAAATTATAAATGGAAAAAGTTCAATGGGCCTTCAGAACTTCGTGCTGGGAGCTGGAAAGAATTTGGAAAAGATAAAAAAAAAAAAAAAAAAAAAAAAAAAAAAAAAACATTAAAGGCTGATGCCCCACAACTTATCAATCTTCGGCTTAACCCGGCTATAAACGGGATGTAAACTCTCACTCTCTTTTAAAAAGATACAGTAAAAGTCATGCATGAACATTGTTTTAAAAAACGAATTATACACGTATATCAAGTACTTGATAACACCGACCTTAATTGAGTATAAACGGAAATGGAATTAAATTTTTGCAAGACACATCGTGCACAAATGGGGCAATCAGAAATGGTATCTCGTTTATCATTTGACATTTACGTTATTCATAGCTAGCTCATTCGTTTTTGCTTTACAACTTTAAATTCATCAATTTCTTTCAGGAAGTTGTATAAATCAAAGATTAAGAGTTAAGGTTTGGTCAGAGAAAATATACAAGATCTCTTTTATTTCTACCAGACACTGCGTCACCAAATACACCTTTTCACCAATATACCATAAAGTTCATGTCAAGCTTCTTCATATTCAAATAAGAATTAAAGAAACCAGATGAAATAATTAATAATAGCTAATGATAAAGATTTGATCAACATAATATATGAATTGAGAGCGATTACTACATAACTTATTGACTGACTTCTTTCTTACAAATCGCTAGGCCATTATTTTCATACTGAATTTCCATTTAGCCAGTCATGAAAAATGGCACACAGCGAGTGTGATCGATCGACAGAGGATGCTTACTTTGTAACGTGGAATCTGACCCCA